TGAGGTGATCAACAATGAAACACTACATACAAAATACCTTAGCACTGGGGATTCTAGATCATGATATGTTTAAGTATCCTATAAAGTCAACAAATACCTTGCATAAACATTTTTGTAGTTGCCTACAGTATATACCAAATTTGTAAAGTTTTTATGATTAATAATGCACTTAGCAAATACCTTTTACTGATCATACCTTAAAGTTTGTAAAGGATAATCAATATCACCACAATATCTTGCATGATCTTTAATTCAATTTAAGACTTGAAAAACATTTCATTTTTGTAACTAGATAATACTTTGTGCAAAATTATACACATCCCACCAATGTAAAGGTGTGCAATTTTATAAACAAGATCTTTTAGATGATCTGAATTTTGAGATCCAATTTAGAAAAGGCAGACATTTTCAATGCAAAAGTGGGTCACATTCAATTTGATAGATTAACTAAAGTCTAATTTCATACGTGTATTTTTATGGACGTTGAAATATGATTTTTTTTTTCAAACCGGCTTATATAAAGTTTTTTATATATATATATGATCAGTACATATGCTGGGATTGACAAATATACATTTTATTCAGATTTTAAAGGCGTTTAAGCTCCACACCCAAGTGTCTGTGAACTTCACAGCAACTGTGAAAATTTACATGCATATAAATTAATTAATCTGCGTAAATGACACGAGTATGTGTGGATCTAGTAAAAGTCGGTGGCGTCTTTGATGTTTAAAGCATTCGCACAATTCATTTAAACAGGATCATTTAAAAACGACAAAAAGTACAATTCATCTGTTTTAGCGATCATATATTTTATAGTTTTGTGTACTTACGACATTAATATCAAATACTTTTTTTTAAGCAATGTGACAATTTTATGAGTTCTAATTATTGCACTGGGTTCCCATATTTACTCGATTATGTCAAGTATGCTTGTTAACACAATCAAGTAGACTACAATGATCAAGTGTGTACATCGACCGACAATTGTGACAGTATATTGAGGACATATAATCGAGTTTTTCTTTCATGTTTCTTAAATATTGCAAACGGGATTTAATCTGTCTCTATCCTGATTATTTGTATGTATGTACGTCAATTTCATGTAAATCGGACGCATTTGTATCTCCTACAACAGCCAACATAAACGATTATGATTTCAATATAGTCAGCTCAGGAAACAGGAAATAAAAGTGGATAATAAAATGTGACAGATTCTATTTCAAATAAAAGTGAAGTTTAAATATAAAAAAAACTTAAAAACATATTTAAGACAGAGTTTACATAAACAAGATGGCTGACAGTGTACCTGGGAAACTTACAGACTTACAAATCAACCAAACAAGGAAGTAACAAGTGCCTTTTTATTTTTTGTGACCCTTGTTACCAAGATGGAAGAAAAAGGAAGCAGAAGGATTCTGTGTGGAATGCCAGCATTACTTTGTGATCAATGCTTTAAGTATCATTGCCTTCCTAAACCGATGAAACATCACAAATTGCTAGGAAGTCAGAAATGCCAAAGAGAAAGGTTGGTGAAAGTCTCTCTGAAACATGTTCACATCATGAGGGAGAGATGATAAAATATTACTGTAAAACACATGACACAGTTGGCTGCAGCTCTTGTATGATCATACACCACAAACCATGCCTTGAAATCTGCACCCTCACAGATATAGATAAGGATGTGGAACTATCATCTGCTTACAAACATTTCTGTACAAGAATGACGACAGCCAAGACAAACCTAGAGGATCAAATAAAAACTGCAAGAGAAAACATAGCAATAAGTAGATCTTGCAGAGAAATGGCTCTTTCTGAAATCAAAAAGCTACAGCAGAAAATCAACATGCAGTTTGAGTTGCAGAAGCAGGAACTTGCAAAAGAAGCTGAGGAAAAAGAGAACAATGAAGTAAGAAAACTGAAAAAAGTTGAAGATTCAGCCAATAATACAAAAAATGTTCTAGATAAACTGAGAGAAGATTTTCATATACTGGAGGAAACTAAACAAAGCAAACAGCTATTCATTGCATTAAAGAAAAATCAAGAAAAACTGAACTCTCTTGAACAAAAAGTGGCAGATATACAAAAAGAAAACAAAGTGGACAAATATTGTTTCATTCCAAACAAGTTCCTGACCAGTATGCTGAAAAATGTGAATGCTCTTGGTGAACTGTGTGTACAAAAGGAAGAAGAATCAGGAGAGGATCTGAAAGGTTTCTATGGAAACTATCCTGAATATGGAATGCCAAGAGGATGCCTAATATCAGATGAAAATGTAATCATACTAGATACAATTTACAATCGTGTAAGGTTATATTCAGTAGATAAGAAGAAGTTGGTAACGGAGAGAGAATTATCATCATGTCCATGGGATATTGCAGTTACTGGTGATAACAAGTTTGCATTAACATTGCCAAATGAAAATAAAATCAAAATCATGTCTGTTGAAGATGAAAACATTACAGAAGGAGAAGAAATCAATGTTGATGCTAGATGTGAGGGAATACACTTTGCAGAGGACAAGCTATATATGACTTGCAGTAAACCTGCACAAGTTTTAATTCTGAATACAACAGGAACAATAATCCAATGTTATATAAAAGATCAAGCAGGTGAGCAGTTGTTCCAACAACCAGCTTATATATCTTTCCATGATGAAAAGCAACTGATCTGTGTCTCTGACAGAAAGGCAAACTGCATTGTGACTATGGCAACTGATAGGAAAGTGCAAAATATCTTCAAAGATGAAAATTGGAAAATGCCTCTGACAATTGTGGTAGACGACGATGAGATCTATACTTCAGACTTTGAAAATCTTAACACAACATGCAGAGATTTAACTACTGGTGAATGTCAAACAATGAACAAATTTGTATTAGCGAAGCATCCAAAATTGAGGAAAAATCATTTTTCATGTGAGTTTTACATAGAAGAACGAGAAGAAGAAGAAGACACAGACAGTGACACAGAAGAACAAGAAGAAAAAGACACAGACACAGACAGTGACACAGAGAGTGACACAGACAGTGACTAACGTTACAAACTACTTTTTCTTACATACATAACTAACTACTGTATTTTAATTTTGATAATTGGTAATAAAAAAAACATGAAAAGACTCTGACAAGTTTTTTTTCTCAAAATTACATGTAACAAGAGCACCGCATATCGTGGCAGTATATGCCCTAATGCAAATTTCTTTTAAGTAAATAAAATTTCAAGTTGTCAAAACAATGTTTAAAGCTGCACGTCTCCAGATGAGCAAAAATATTTTGATAAAATCAAACCTGAGGAAAATGTATTAAGATTTTAGGAAAAGTATAAAGATTTCAAATTCTAGTAATAATTTACATGTTAAGTGCGATTAGTGACCGATTTTTCAGTATTTATAACTTTATTTTTTCTGTTTTACTAATGCAGTAAAGGCTAGTTTTTGCATATTTTGACCTCTATATGGTAATTTACATGGGTTGTAAGTGCCATTGATAATTTGTAAATTGCATTATTTTGGTAACATTACAATACTATACTGTTAAAAACATTTTCAAATTTTCACGAAAATAAGCATGAGTCTGGAGGCGTACTGCTTTAAAGATCCTGTATGTTTTGTGACTGATATTGTTACTGTGTGAATACCACACTTGCAAAATATTATATAGTATATAATTATGCAAATTAAACAATTTTCGAACATCGAAGAATATGTAAAATGTGTACTGCAAATATTTGTGCACATTATATTGAATCAATTAATTACATGCATTCTTTTCTTATTGGAAAATTTGACCTAGAATTTATAGAAAATAAATTTCTAATTACCTCCCTTTATTTACATGAAATGTTAAATTGGGTAATATCTTTATAAATAATGCTTATTGGAACTTACAATATTGACAAATCTTAATTTGAGCATCATATTTATGAAATAAAACCATGAAAAAATTGTGTTACAGGATCTTTAAACAAAGAGGATATCCATTTATAATATTTATCAAAAACATTTTTTATTTCAATTATCAATAAGCAGCAGTTTAATTTATACTAACTGAAAACAAATAATTTTGCTTTTTAAATGATAAAAAATTAAAAGAACAAATAAATAATATTACACCAGAAATTCAAAAGCAAAAAATATTATGCCTGCAAAATAATTAAAAAAATCAAAATACTATGCGTACACATAATTTTCTTCGTTTTTATTACCTCCCTTTACATTTATAACATCTCAATACTCGCACAAACATCCATCAAAAAATTGATAAATCCACTTTTACAAAGTGATGATACATGCCAAAAATGTATGCTCTGCATGTTTTATATTGGAAGAAAAGACTTTTAAAACATACATGTATTCTGTATAAATCTGTGAACATGTAAACAGTACCAGACCTACCCATCCCCCCACCAACCCGATGGGCATAGCCATTTTTTTTAATATCAGTGAAAAATATCAGGGTTCTTCTATGTAATTATACATGCCAAATAACTGAGATCTGGGATTTGTAACTTAACATAAGAATACATACATTGTATAAGAAAATAAATTTTCCTGTCTATGTGACCCATAGGGCAGGACCAATATTGTCCCAAGGTGCACGTTTTATATAAATTTTGTAGATGTCAACAAGGGATGCTTCATGCAAAATATCTAAGCTTAACATAAATATAATATTTTTGGGCATATGGTAATATGTTGTTATTACCTTTGTCTTATAGTTGAGATAAATACTGTTTGCACATCATATTAATATAAATGACAAGTCGACATGTATATAATATAGCTTTTATTTTCATATGTAAAAAGGTATACAGAGTTCATATGTCAAGAATGATAGATAATGTATTTGGGACTTGGCAAGATTGTACGTATTTCATAACATTTTATGTGAAAGTTGTCATTATAAACACTGGTCTAAAAGCCCAGTCTAGGGAGTTCGAATTTGGCAGTTGACTTGTACATGGTGTATATTCATATAGTATAAAAATGTGAAACATCTGTGCGTTCTTTTTCCACTTTACAACACCTTCTTTCAAGTTTGGTTGAAATCCCACCAGAAGTTTGACCTGTGAAGGCCAGACAAGATGTTCCTATTTTTAGCTCTGGCGGCCATTTTGTGCAGCAAAGTGGAACATGCGGGTGATGTGCACAACTAAGGATGGTACTGATCACTCCTGTACATTTTGATTGAAATTCCACCAGTAGTTCGACCTGTAAAGACCGTACAAGATTTGTTCTATTTTTAGCTCTGGCGGTCATTTTGTGCAGGGAAGCGAAACGTGCTGGTAATGTATGGAACGCCTGGACTGTCTTATGTGTAGAATGACTGATATACATGGTTAAATGTGATTCTGTTGAGTCCGAGATACAATATGCTGGGTCAAAATCCCAATATACTGGGTGGAAATCCAAATGCGCTCAGTTATTGAAGTGTAATGTTGTGTGCTGACTGTATTTTATTCAGTCAAGTCAATGTATTGTCGGGTGCATAAGTCGTTATGTTCAGTTCTTAAAACAAACAGGCATGTGGTAACACAATTATGTTGAGTTAAAAAGATATGTTGTAGGGAATGACAGTTGTTATGTTCGGTTGAAATAGCTCTTCTCATCATGTTCAACCATGAAAATAAACTGTTAAGTGGTACTATCATTTCGTTTGGCTGAGGCAGTGTATTATTGGGTGATCCTTTTATCATTTTCAGTTGAAATGACATGCTGTTGGGTGCTTTATTCAGACTGTTCAGTCGTGAAATAGAACTGTTGAATAGTACTATCATTATGTTCAGTTCAGATGATGTACTGTTCGGTGCAGAGGTCATTCTGTTAAGTAGTGAACACAAAATGTTGTGTGATACCGTTATTATGTTCAGTTCAGATGATATACTGTTCGGTGCAGAAGTCATTATGTTCAGTTCAGATGATGTACTGTTCGGTGCAGAGGTCATTATGTTCAGTTCAGATGATATACTGTTCGGTGCAGAAGTCATTATGTTCAGTTCAGATAATATACTGTTCGGTGCAGAAGTCATTATGTTCAGTAGTGAACACAAAATGTTGTGTGATACCGTTATTATGTTCAGTTCAGATGATATACTGTTCGGTGCAGAAGTCATTATGTTCAGTTCAGATGATGTACTGTTCGGTGCAGAGGTCATTATGTTCAGTTCAGATGATATACTGTTCGGTGCAGAAGTCATTATGTTCAGTTCAGATAATATACTGTTCGGTGCAGAAGTCATTATGTTCAGTAGTGAACACAAACTGTTGTGTGATACCGTCATTATGTTCAGTTCAGATGATATCCTGTTTGGTGCAGAGGTCATTATGTTCAGTAGTGAACACAAACTGTGGTGTGATACCGTCATTATGTTCAGTTCAAATGATATTCTGTTCGGTGCAGAAGTCATTATGGTCAGTAGTGAACACAAACTGTGGTGTGATACCGTCATTATGTTCAGTTCAGATGATATTCTGTTCGGTGCAGAAGTCATTATGGTCAGTAGTGAACACAAACTGTGGTGTGATACCGTCATTATGTTCAGTTCAGATGATATTCTGTTCGGTGCAGAGGTCATTATGGTCAGTAGTGAACACAAACTGTGGTGTGATACCGTCATTATGTTCAGTTCAGATGATATTCTGTTCGGTGCTGAAGTCCATTATGTTCAGTAGTGAACACAAACTGTGGTGTGATACCGTCATTATGTTCAGTTCAGATGATATACTGTTCGGTGCACAAGTCATTTGACAATGCGCTGAGTGGTCATACAATTATGTTGGGTTCATTCGGATTTCTTCGCGTCAAACAAGATGGCGGGTGGGAGCAACTAATTTCCATAGGTCACGTCGAGGCTAATGACCACTAAATTGCCAAAACAGTTACCTATTTGAGTCACACATGGCCACAGTATAAAGAACGTTAAATATAAGTATGGAACCCCTATTTGAGACACACATGACCACAGTAAATGGAACATTATATATAAGTAAGTGTGGCCTAATAAAGTCAAACATGGCCAAAGTATAAAGAAAATTCTTTATAAGTAAGTGAAACCTAATTGAGTCACATATGGCCACAATATAATAGACATAATGTTTAAGTCAGGGAAATGTATTTGAGTCTAATTTTATTAGGCTACCCTTACTTATATATAATGTTCCATATACTTTAGTTATGCGTGACTCAAAAAGGTTTCCCTTACTTAAACATAATGTTCCATATATTTTGGCCTAGTGTGACTCAATTAGGTTTCCCTTACTTATATAGAATGTTCTTCATAATGTGGGTATGTGTGACTTTATTGCGCTACCTTTACTTATATCTAATGTTCCATATACTGTGGCCATGTGTGACTCAAATAGGTTTCCCTTACTTAAATATTATGTTCCATTTATTGTGGTTATGTGTGACTCAAATGGGTTACCAACAAATACATTTTAAGTCGTATATGCTGTGGCCATATCTGACTTTAATAGGCTACCCTTACTTATATGCTCCATATACTGTGGCCATGTGTGACTCAAATAGGGTTCCCTTACTTGAATATGATGTTTTATATTTTAAATTTCGTTTGCTGTGTCCATTTGTGACTCTTATAGGTTACCAAACAGATAAATTTTAAGTTTTATTTACGGTGGTCACGTGTGACTTTAACAGGCTACCCTTACCTATATTTTAAGTTTTATATATACTGTACCCATTATGACTGTAACAGTATAGTATAGTATAGTCATGAATTAACTAATAAATACCCATAGGGTATTTAAAAGTCCAATTTATGAATATAACGTTCTTAAGCCCCCGATAATATTTATAGGGAAGAAAATTGTTTTGGCAATTTAGTGGTCATTAGCCTCGACGTGACCTCTCCCATCTTGTTGCCCGAAAATATCCGAATGAACCCAACATGATAATGGTTGTATCACACAACAGTTTGTGTTCACTATTGAACATAATGACCTCTGCACCGAACAGTATATCATCTGAACTGAACATAATGATAGTACCAAAAAACCACTGAACATAACGACCTTTG